TAAGCTTACCGAGGATGTCCTATTTGAGTGCTTTGGCTAATTAAAATAGTTGAATGATCTTTGGTGTTTTTAGTGAACGAATGGAAAGTCCAGGAGTTAAAATCGAGATCAGAGATGACCTCGACTCCAGCAGCTCTTCTCGTCTCCTCTTTGAGGGCTCGAACTGACTCATCTATAGAACACACGATCCATGTTCACGGCAAACAGACCCATTTATTTTACCACAAATCATTACAAGTGGAATTTCCTGCACTATAGTGAACAATTCAAAGTTATGTGTTGAGTTTGATGAATTCATATGTTTAAGGCACAAAAATTAAGTTGATATTTCTGCATTAAGAGGATAAAACCCCAAAACAGTGTCAATAGTTCCACTTTTTCTTTTTATTTTTTTTGCCCATTTCTTTTATTTTCTACTTTGAAGCTGTGCAAGATACTTTTTATTCATGAAATTCCAGTTATCTTATCCATTTAAATGTTTGTCTCCAAGCAGAAACGTTTGAAGGAACTCTCATTGGTTAGGACTTCACTGTCTTCAAAGAAGGCTGAGCAAAGTAAACCGTTTGGTGGACCCAAAACATCAGGCTCTGATCAAGGCAGTTATTTATTTTTTAACCACAGATTTGTGATGCATTCACTTGCAGCCTGTACATTCAAATGCCACACTGAAATTGTAGTTTGTTTGTTAAAAATAATTAAGGCTATAAATCCCATGTAGGTTTACATTAATAACTTGCGATATTACAATTGTATTTTGAGTTCATTACATCAATTTTTTTTTTTACAGAAACTAAGTTCTGTGGGTTACTATTAAATTTCATTTGAATTATCAAAACTAATGTACATGTACTTGAACGCAAGAGACTGGGTGAGCCACGGGGCCCTGTGGGTTTATTGGGGTAGAAATGGGTGGACTTTTCAAATTGTGTTCAGCTGGGTTGTCTATTGGTTTTTTGATTTCGTCTTGGGTTAAGGTTTATGTTCATATTGCTGTTATAAGGACTGTAAAAAAATGGACACTAAGTAAGATGTGGTACTTGACATCTAAAAAAGGAGAAAGTGCTGTCGGTCCAGTGAGTCTGTGGATAGAGAAGCTCAAAGTAAAGTGATGTAAGCAGACTGCGGCTCCATATCTTCAATATACTCTTAAGGTTGATACTTTCTGGCTGAAAGCCTAGCTCTTCTAATCATGCTTTGCCACTGCAATTAATAACAACATATTAGCCCCTCACTACTTTGCGGTTCGTTTCTTCGCGGACTCGCTCTATCACAGTTTTTCCAAGTAAGATTGGACATGACACACAACTGGCTGATTGATGGATGAGCTGCACGATCGGTATATAATTTTTATTTAAAATAAATTATTTACAAACCGGATTCCAAAAAAGTTGGGACACTAAACAAATTGTGAATAAAAACTGAATGCAATGATGTGGAG